TAGTCGGGCTTCTTTTCGTGATGTTAAGCCCTCCTCGGCAATTCACTTGCAAGTGGCAGATGGGAAGTGCTTACCCGCCACGAGCATTGGTGATATCGTTAAGCCTGGGGTTTCTCTTCCCAAGACATTATATGTTCCTGATCTTGTTCTTAGTCTGGTGTCTATTGGTCAATTGGCCGAGGATGGGTGCTCTATTACCTTTGATTCGGCTGGTTGTGTTGTACATGACAAGACCTCGGGGGTGGTGATCGGTCATGGGACTAAGAAAGGCAGAGTGTACCTTTTGGATGCTTACTCACGCGCAGATGCTGGTCTCGCTCGACGTCTGCATGGGGTGCATGGTGATAGGGAGGTTGGCGTGGGGTTGAAGGATCTAGTTACTTCTGGTGCTTGTTTTTTGTGTTAAATTTTCAAGTTGGGATCTTTGGCATCTTCGTTTGGGGCATCCCCATTCGACGCGATTATCGGATATGTTTAAGAATAAGTTTTTATCAGGTTCTATTTCTTCTACGGATTCTCGAGATTGTGTTCATTGTATTGAAGCCAAACTCTCGCAACATTCTTTTAGTTCAAGTACTACGGATTATTCAGAACCATTTGCCTTAGTTCATACTGATTTATAGGGCCCCTCGCCTATCACATCTCGCGTTGGTTTTTGGTATTTTGCTTTCTTTGTGGATCATGCTACTCGATATACCTGGGTTTACTTCCTTCGCCAGAAATCTGACTTGCTTGCTACGGCTAAGGAATTTTTTTCTATGGTTCAGACCTAGTTTGGTCGTGCAATTCAGATCCTTCGTTCTGACCCAGGTGAGGAATTCATGTCTGGTCCTCTTCAAGAAGTGTTTCGGGCTTGCTGTATTCTTCCCCAATAATCTTGTCCCGGTGTTTCTCAACATAATGGGCTGGTGGAGCGAAAGAACCGCCACGTTCTTGAGCTTGCTCGGGCTGTTCTGTTTCACTCGAGTGTACCGACCAGTTTCTGGGTCAAGGTGATTCATACAGTTGTGTACCTGATTAATCGACAGTCGAACACTGTTCTTCAAAATAAGAGTGTATATGAAGCTCTCTTCCGACGTTGTCCGCAGTATGACCAGCTTCGGGTCTTTGGGTGTATATGTAATGTTCTTCTCCCCTGTCGGGAGCGTAATAAACTTGCACCACGATTAAGTGTGCTTTCGTGGGATACAGTGAGAAGCATAAGGATTATGTCGCTATGATCCGGTTAGTCGCATGGGTTCGTATTTCATGCGATGTGGTTTTTCTTGAACATATTACGTATTATTCGGTTTCTGTTGCAGAACATAGTGCAGCCACTGATCTCTTCCAACCCTTGGCCGAGTTTCTAGCTGCCCCGGATGCTCCCCAGGACAATAATGCTCCTCTGTCCCCTCCGTCTGGCAGCTCTTCTTTGTCTACTTCGCTGTCATCCTCATCTAGTACTTCGTCTGCCTCCAACGATGACTTGCCCCCTCCTACTCCGACACCAGAGCCATCTCCTGTTATCTTGCGGAGTTCTGATCGCATCAATCGAGGCAAGCCCCCTTCCCGTCTCGGTGATTTCCTGGCATTCTCTACACATCATATTCCCATTCCCGCAACATATAAGCAAGCGCATGGCCAGGCTTGCTGGGATGCGGCCATGGATGTGGAATTTGTAGCATTAGAAGCATCCCACACTTGGGATGTCGTTCCTCGCCCTCGAGACCACCTCGTTATCGGTTCGAGGTGGGTTTATGATCTGAAAGTTCATCCCGATGGTTCCATTAAGCGTTTTAAGGCTCAGGCTGTTGCATTGGGCTTTCGCCAGGTATTTGGCATTGACTACGATGAGACCTTCGCTCCTGTTGCTAAGATGAAGACCGTTCGGACCTTATTGGCGATTGTTGCTATGCGTGAGTGGTGTCTTAAGCAGCTGGATGTCAAAAATGCGTTTCTTCATTGGGACTTGAAGGAAACAGTTTACATGGAGTGTCCCCCCTGGCTACTCGAAGGGAGATAAGTCTCATGTTTGTTTACTGAGGCGTTCGTTGTATGGTCTAAAGCAGGCACCTCGTGCCTGGTTTGAGAAATTCCATAGCACGATCCACAGGATTGGGTTTATCCAGAGTAATAATGATCTGTGCTTGTTTACTCGGCGCAGTGATCGTGGGTTGATTGTTCTCTTGATCTATGTCGATGATATGGTGGTGAGTGGTGATGATGAGGAGGGAATTCAGACATTAATCACTAAGCTTCATTCTGCCTTTAATCTTAAAGAGTTAGGAGATCTCTCCTATTTTCTTGGCCTAGAGGTTCATCGGTCTACTGATGGTTAACTGGTGTGTCAGCAGAAGTACATTATTGACCTACTAGAAACTGCTCATATGGATTATTGTGTACCAGTTGGGACGCCAATGGAGCAGAACCTTAAACTACGCAAGTCGGATGGGGAACCTTTACCAGATGACTCATTTTATCGCAACATAGTTGGGAGTTTGATCTATCTCACGCATACTCGACCTGATATTTCGTATGCAGTTCAGGTGGTCAGTCAGTTTATGCAATCTCCTCGCACTACTCATATAGCTGTTGTTAACAGGATTTTACGATATCTGCGGTGCACTCAAGAAGTTGGACTTCTCTTTCCTTCTACGGGGACTTTGACATTGGAGGCTTATTCAGATGTTGACTTTGAAGGATGTCTGGACACTCGTCATTCTACTTCTGGGTGGTGTGTTCAGGTGGGTCAATCGTTCATTTCCTGGTGTTGTAAGAAGCAGGATCGGGTCTCTAAATCTTCCACCAAGGCGGAGTATTGGTCCATGTCTGAGGTTACATCCGAGTTCGTCTGGCTTCGGCGGTTGCTGTCGAAGCTTGGAGCAGAGTGTCGGATCCCGATGCGCTTGTATGGTGACAATACCAGTGCTATTCAGATAGCCACAAATCTGGTTCTCCATGATCGCACGAAGCATATTGAGGTTCATGTGCATTATATTCATTAGCTTGTTTCCGAAGGGGTGGTGGAGTTATCTTATATTACGTCAGAAGAATAGACTGTTGATTTGTTGACTAAAGTTGTTGCTACTGCCCGCCACTGGTTTCTCGCTCACAAATTGATGTTGCGTAAGCATCATCAATTTGAGGGAGGCTGTTAGAAGTTCATGTATTAGATTGCAATTAGCCATCATGTTATTTATGATTAATTACAATCTTACCTCCTTAGGGTAAGCCTGCGGCTAGTATATATATGTTGTACTGGTCATTCTGTAAACCTAAGGAATCACAGCCTATGTAATAAGATTGACTCCGAGAGGCTATATATATGTTGTACTGGTCATTCTGTAAACCTAAGGAATCACAGCCTATGTAATAAGATTGACTTCGAGAGGCTTCACCCTTTCCGTGGATTAGTCTCAACGAGTATCGTTGAGAATACCACTTAAATCTCCTGTTGGTTCATGTTTTGTTTGATCTTTTGACAGGCAGTGGCGGAGCTGTGCATAAAGGAGGGCGGTGCATGCAGCCCCCTTGGCTGTGGGGGAAAAATAACTACGCATATATGGTCAGAGCTGTGGGTCGAACCTCTAACCCCATAATTGATGGTAAGCAATCCCACCATCTCTGCTAGATGAGATTTTTGATTTATATGACACACACTTTTAATTATACCAATAGTAATTATATGTCCTAATATCAAAACACTGTCGTCGATCCCAGGCAGAAATCCCCAATTCACTTTCGTTTTTTTCCACGACCCAGCAGCAGCCAGCAGTAGAGGCACTCGCCGACCTCCAAGCTTGAAGCTTCCATTCTCCAAGGCTCCAACGGCGGCGAGTCCACCCTCCAAGCTCTCCATCTTCGGCTTCAAGATCGCCAAACCTCCACCCACCGCCCTCCAAGCTCGCCGATCTCCAAGCACTCGCTGACCTCCAACCTTCCTTCTCTTTTCAATCGTGAGCAGGGCAGGGGAGCATTGGAGCAACAAGCCGACAGCACAAAAATTGCTTTGGCTCACAACATCAATCTTAAAAACAAGGAAAATCTAAGTTTTAATTTCTATTACTGAAGTTTTGTTATTTGTGTTAATTTAGGGTTAGGTTTGTATGTTTGGTAAACTCAATTTCATCTTCAAATTAAGAACATGGACTGATTTATTCATATAATGAAGTTGATTTTCATTATTAAATTAGATGAAGAGATATTATTCGAGGAAAGAAAAAAACTACTTCTCCGGAAATGGATGAGACGGAATCACGGGGTAGCAAGCAAGCTGCAACTTTTCCCCAACCGTGCATACAATCTTCATCAGTAAATCAATCGAGACAGTCACAAGAACCTCAACTTATAGAAGAACTTCAAAGTAAGTCTCCCTCTCTTTCAGAATATGAAATCTCGTCGAGGTTCATTGTAGGCGATGTGTGTAGAACTATTATTATATAATTGTACGAATCTTGGGTATTATGTTATTGACATCATATTTTCGTTTAAAGTTGACTTTTTTATTCTATAATTGACTTTTTTATTACATGAACAAGCACCCCCTTGGCCAATTTTCTGGCTCCGCCACTGTTGACAGGTACCACAACTAACATAGACGTGCGTGTAGAAGGGTGTAAATAAGAATGTACGACCCCTGTCCATTGTAATTTTGACCTATAAACAATTAACAAATCTCTTCTTCCTCGTGGACGGGAAGTAGATCTCACCACTACCAGGCTCAACCACTACTTTAAACAAATTCTCCATTTGGATTCCACAGTTATCAAATCTCTTAAAAAACCGATGAGGCAGAGGACCTGGTTTACTCACTTCCAAGAGTGGCCATGCTAGTGAGATAACCGGAGTTTGTAGTGGTATGATCAGCAGGGTCTGCGGATGGAGCTATATTATCTCATCATATCTCTAAATATGTCATCCTATAACAGCATAATTCTGTACAGATGCATAAAGCTAACGCTCCCAACCCAACAACTCAATCAGAAAATGGAGAAGCAAGAAAGGAAACACAAAGAACAGAAATGTTATCCACGCATTAATTAAGAAATTGGAACGAAGGAGGGAGATAAAGATACCCATCACCTTGCCATCCCCCCGTCTCCATCAGGCGGGAGGAAGAAGGAATAAAATATAATATCGATACTATCATCACCCCGAACTAATGATTAAAACAAGACACCTGTATGTCGATTATACTCCATCCGCCGATAGAAACGAAGAGCAAGCCAAGAGGAAGAGAACTTTCATTTCCGTATTTTGTTGATATATCTCAAGCACTGGCTTCTCTGGTTTGGATTATTACAACAGTGGATATATAGTCTGTCAAAAGAAAAAGGTACAGAGGAAAGATACAGAGAGAACAGAGGAGCTCTGCTGCAGAACAAGAGAAACAGGGGAAGGCCTTATAGATTTGAGACTCATATGATGATAATGTCGTTATTTTTTTTCCCCACCTGGCTGTTTTTGCGCATCAAACTAAATGAGGACCCCAAAAAACAACGTTCAGGATTCTCTCCGCTCTTTCAGCTTCCCTCATACTGCTGCTCTTCTGAATCCCATCAACTTCTGATTTCATCACTTTCTTTGAATCTCCCCTGCCACAAGAACCAGAAGAAGAAGAAGAAGAAGAAAACCAACTTCCCTGAGTCTCGCCGGGTTCGGCCGCCGCTTGAGAAGCCTTGAATCCTGCCATCGAGTTTTCTCAACTCCACTCCCAACCTCGCACAAACTTGGAACCCTTCAGAGCTCTCGTGCTACCTTCTATTTTATTTTCTTGCGGTGGTGTTTTTTCTATGCTTATTATTTCTATGGGTGGGGAAAATAAAAATTGGGAGCTGTGTTTATAAGGTGGAAGGAGGAAGGAGATTTTCGGGAAGGGCGGTTTTCGGGTTTGCTTCGTTTTTAGCTCTCAGTGTGAGTGGGTTGAGCAGCTCAGTATGGGGTTGGTGATCTTAGGAATGTGAGAGCGGTGTCGTGTTGTTGAGACTGATATGATAGCAACTAAACCTGAAAGCGAAAGGGATCGAGAGAAATGGGTCTCGGAAACTCCATCGAGTTTGCGATAATTACTAGCTATAACCTGTTTTTCAAGACAGAATATATTTTAGTCTTGTCTTTTGCAGCTCATGGTTTGTTACTGTTTACCCACCGGATTAGGGACTTTCTTGATTGGACTTACTTCCAGCCAAAAGTATTTTGGAAATGTATTTGAGAAAGAATTAAATTCGAAGGGTGGTGTCACATGTGGCAGATGACATGGCGCTAACAAGGTGACAACATGGCAGCAGCACATGTGGCATGCATGGAAGACTAGTAGCATAGAGATGCTCCTAGGATTCTCCACCATAATGTAGAGCTTTATAGTGCACTTATGAGTCACATAATGGTGACATTGATAGAGTGCATAATGGGGGGACTTAATGGGGTGTATTGATGTAGTAGAGGGACTTTATGAGGGGCATTGATGCCTTGTATGTGGAGAGGCCTATATAAGGAGCCATCTCCCTCATTTGTACTCATTCCATCATTTTTGAGAGTAATACACACTAGAGAGTTCTCCCAATCCTTTGTCTTTGTTCTTGTTCTTTGCTTGCTTGTGAGTTTGAGAGGAAGGCTGCCTAGCGCTCTAACGGAATTGAGAGCTAGGGCCGCACGATCGAGAGTAAGGTCGTGACAAGTGGTATCAGAGCCTGGTTCGGCTTTGTGCTAGCAAAGTTGAACCTAGAGCCAGAAGGAAAGGAAGAACCTCACCAAAGATGGTTGGATCAGAAGTCCACGACGATGCGGAGAAGCACCGTGGAAGGGATACCGTGAAGAATCCCAAACCAAAGGGTGACAAGTCAAGCACTTGTGATCCTATGACGTCTCTAGAGAGGCGTGTCTCTAGAGTGGAGGTGAAGTTGGCGGAAGACATCACTGCCATCGAGGATTTGGGAGCAAACTTCACCCAAGTCGAAAGCGATTTTCAAGGTATTAATGCTCGTTTGTCGAGCTTGGAGATTGGTAATGATGGCTTACGAGAAGAGCTTGTGGCCCTCATCAACAACACCATCACCACATCCTTAAACAACGCCATTGGAGTTGTGAAAGAGCAAGTCCAGGCTGAGTTGGTCGGCGTGAAGGAGGAGATTGCAGATCTCAAGAGTGAGGTCACTCTCGTGAAGAGAGCCATGGCTAGCGGACCAGCCACGGTGCAATCCGTCCCACGTGCTGATATTCCAAGACCGAAGAGCTTCGGAGGTTCACGGAATGCGAGGGAGTTAGAGAACTTCCTTTGGAGTCTTGAGCAGTACTTCAAGGCGTCCGGCATCCAAGAGGAGGAGGTAAAGATCCGTACCGCTCCACTATACTTGGTTGATGTTGCAATGGTGTGGTGGAGGCGACGTGAAGCGGACGTCGAAAGAGGTACTTGTGTGATGGTAACGTGGGAAGATTTCAAGAGAGAAATCAAGAGGCAGTTCTACCCAGAGAACGTGGAGTTTGAAGCCCGTTCAAAGTTGAGAAGACTCACCCAGAGGGGTGGAGTTCGAGAATACGTGAAAGAATTCTCGGAGCTGCTTCTAGAGATCCCGGACATCACGGACAAGGAGGCCATGCACGGCTTTCTTGATGGGCTGCAACCATGGGCCAAGATGGAGATGCAACGTCGAGGAGTGCAAGACCTTGCAACTGCCATGGCCACGGCGGAGTCTTTTGTCGAGTACAAACGACAAGAGAGCAGCGGCAAAGAGAAGAGTTCGAAGCCCAACAAGGGTGGAGAACAGCAGAAGCCTTTCAAGGAGGGTTCTCGCACTCAACAACACCAAGGTGGTTCGAGCAAAGGGGGTAAGTACGAGCCAAAACCCATGACTTGTTTCCTTTGCGACGGACCACATCGAGTGCGAGATTGCCCAAGGAAGGCGAGATTAGCAGCCATGGAAGCTCAAGATGAGGAGCCCAAGGCGGCGGAGGCCAAGATTGGCTCAATCCGCAAGCTTGGCGCGGCGAAGACCGACGTCAAGGAGAGCAAGCGGGGGAGGTGCTATGTTCTGGCGCAATTCATGCAAGGCGAGTCAAAAGCCTTGGTGGATACCGGTGCCATGGACAACTTTCTTCGCGTCGAGGAGGCAAACCGGCTGGGTATTGCCTACGAGAAGGGGCAAGGGAGGCTCAAGACGATCAATTCGGAGTCCATCCCGATCCATGGAGTTGCTCACAACGTACCAATGAAGCTTGGCGAGTGGGAAGGCCTCATCGACTTTTCCATCGTCACCATGGACGATCACCCAGTCATCCTCGGCATCCACTTCCTCGACAAGGAGGGAGTGCTTTTGAAGCCCAACTCCAACACGATGTGCTTGGAGAAGGAAGGGGAGTTCCATGCTGTTCATCTCTTGAGAGAAGATGGTCCCCATAGTGCTCTATCGGCCATGCAAGTGGTGAAGGGGTTCAAGAAGAATGAACCAACCTTTCTTGTGTCCTTGAAGATGGAGGAAGAAGGAGGCTCAACGGGAATCACAACTCCCATCATCGAAGGTGTCCTCGAAGAGTTCGATGATGTGATGCCATCGGAGTTGCCCAAGAAGCTGCCACCAAGAAGAGAGGTGGACCACAAGATCGAGTTGGAGCCGGGAGCGAAGCCCCATTCGCGAGCACCATACCGCATGTCGCCACCGGAGTTAGAAGAATTGCGGAGGCAACTCAAGGACTTGGTGGACGCAGGCTACATGCGGCCATCGAAGTCACCTTTTGGAGCACCGGTGCTGTTCCAAAAGAAGAAGGAAGGGTCGTTGCGGATGTGCATCGACTATAGAGCCATCAACAAGTTGACGGTGAAGAACAAGTGGCCGATTCCCAACATTGCCGACTTGTTCGACCAGCTTGGAGATGCAATGTGGTTCACCAAGCTAGATCTTCGCTCGGGCTACTATCAAGTGCGGATAGCAGAGGGCGACGAGCCAAAGACGGCTTGTGTGACGAGGTATGGCTCTTACGAGTTTCTTGTGATGCCATTCGGTCTCACCAACGCACCAGCCACGTTTTGCACTTTGATGAATCAAGTGTTCGAGCCATTCTTGGACCGGTTTGTCGTGGTCTACTTGGATGACATCGTCGTGTATAGCAAAACACTCGATGAGCATGCCGAGCATCTACGCCAAGTCTTCCAAGTCCTTCGCGACAACGAGTTGTACGTCAAGAGGGAGAAGTGCACATTTGCCGCCATGGAGGTTCCATTCTTGGGGCACGTCATTGGTGGAGGCAAGTTGAAGATGGATGGAGCGAAGGTGCAGGCAATCCAAGAATGGGAGCCGCCGACGAAGGTGCCAGAGTTGCGGTCATTCCTCGGCCTTGCCAACTACTATCGGAGGTTTATCAAGGGCTACTCCAACATTGCAGCACCCTTGACGGATCTCTTGAAGAAGAACAAGGCGTGGGATTGTTCGGAAAGGTGCCAGGAAGCATTCGAGGCCTTGAAAGCAGCGGTGATGAAGGAGCCCGTGCTCGTGCTCCCCAACCCGACGTTGGCCTACGAAGTGCAGACCGATTCGTCCGACTTCGCGATTGGAGGAGTGTTGATGCAAGATGGGCATCCCATTGCCTTCGAGAGTCGGAAGCTCAGCGAGACGGAGAGGCGATACACCGTTCAAGAGAAGGAAATGACGGTCGTGGTGCATTGCTTGCGCACATGGAGGCACTACTTGTTGGGGTCAAAGTTCGTTGTGAAGACGGACAACGTGGCAACGAGCTACTTTCTGACGCAGAAGAAGCTCACCCCTAAGCAAGCAAGGTGGCAAGACTTTTTGGCCGAATTCGACTTCGTCATGGAGTACAATCCAGGCAAGGCGAATTCCGTTGCCGATGCTCTTAGCCGCAAGAGTGCAGCCGCAAGCATCAGCCAGCCCACGTTTCCTTTGAAGGAGCGGATCGTTGAAGGCCTTGGCCATGACCCCTTCGCCAAAACCGTAGCGGAGTACATTGAGCAAGGTAAAACTCGGTGGTTTTGGATGAAGGATGGGCTCATCATGACCAAGGGAGAGCGGGTGATCGTGCCAAGATGGGCCAACTTGAGGAAGGAGATCATGAAGGAGTGCCATGATTCCAAGTGGGCGGGCCATCCCGGCATCGAGAGAACGCAAGCGCTCATCGAAGAAGCATATTTCTGGCCGCGTATGAGAGACGACGTGGAGATGTATGTGAAGACTTGTCTTGTGTGCCAACAAGACAAGATGGAGCAGAGAAGCCCGGCAGGCTTGCTAGAGCCCTTGCCCACGCCTCAACGACCATGGGAGAGTGTGAGCATGGACTTCATCATCGGACTCCCCAAAGTCGATGGATGCGGTTGCATCATGGTTGTGGTGGACAGATTCTCGAAGTATGGAGTGTTCATTCCTGGGCCAAAAGACTTAACGGCGGAGGATGCGGCACGACTATTCTTCAAGAACGTGGTCAAGTATTGGGGCATTCCTAGCAGCATCGTGAGCGACAGAGATGGGCGCTTCACGGGCAGATTTTGGCGAGAGTTGTTCAAGATCATGGGCTCAAACTTGAACTTCTCGACAGCATTTCATCCTCAAAGCGACGGACAGACGGAGCGGGTGAATGCCTTGTTGTAGGTGTACTTGCGACACTACGTGAGTGCAAACCAACGAGATTGGGTGAAGTTGATGGACACGGCACAGTTCTCCTACAACTTACACCGCAGCGAGTCGATCAACACAAGTCCATTCGAGTTGGCGACGGGGCAACAACCTTTGACACCTACGACGGTGGCAACGGGGTATAGAGGCAACAGTCCGGCGGCCTACAAGTTCGCTAAAGGTTGGCACGAGAAGATGGAA